AAAAAAAAAAAAAAAAACTATTTAATATTGGCACTTAAACCACTCCTGGTGGATTTCCTACAAAAAATAAATACCCACACTTCTACACTATACTTCTAACAAAAATTCAACACATAAGACACATTTTGGTGTCCATTTACGTCCCAAAAAGGATAACAAATTTTCATTACTATCTTCTATTTCACAATGGGACAAAGTTCTTATACCTTAGGTTCCTGTAAATACAACTTAATGCTATATATAATTTCCTTGACATAATCTGTTTGATAATGTATATATGGATGTAAACTTTACAAATCTTAGGACAAGTTATAAAGATTTCTTTGCTTCACATTTTTAGAACATAGACTGGAGGAAGGTAAAAAAGATTTTGCATCATCTGCTTACTTATGAGTGTCTGTTTGATGACAGAAGGATAAAGGAAGTAATGTATATAAAAGTAAATTAAGAATCTGATAGAGTAAGGCATTGGGTCTTGGGATTGGTGGGACAGCATTAACTTAAACACCATATATTCTTTTGGACTGTAATATTTACAGTACACCAAAACACACACACAACCAACCATAAAAGAAATAGCACGATTAATAGCATTACAATACAATAATTATTCCTAAATAGATATGCTATAAATAGTCATGTGTTACTACCCAGTTCTGAAGAAAAAAGTCAACATTAATTTACCTGAGGTGATCGAAGATGCAGAGGCACAAGCCCAGAGGGGGTATCAGCTAATACATTAAAATGAGGAGTAGGAGGTGGTCCCATTGCCATGGGTCTACTTTCCGGGTCAACTTGGTAATTAACAAGTCCCCACTGCTCTAAAAAGGCATGGACCCTAAAGAAAAAAGCTCAAAAAGTTAAAATCTAGAGAATCAACTTCAGGTGCTTTATCATCATCATCATCATCGTTATTAAAAAACAGAAACAATAAAAGAAGTAAATATTCTCAGCAGGCTATGAAACACCACAAACGACCTGACAGATTTTCTTATATGAGGAACAATTTCTTAAGTCACAAGTAAAGTTAATAACACAGCACCTCCTAAACCTACTACAAAGTCTTATCATTTCAACCACAGAAATGAGAGCACAAATACAGATTTAGGTCCATGTTAATAAAAGAAGTCACACATAGACCAAATATACACACCAAAAAAATCCACATTTTTGTTTTTTTGTCTTTAGGCAGATCTAGGGCACAGAGCTTATCCACTCTCAACCTGAACCCACTCCATCCCCGGTTATTTTGTGATTTGACTAAAAAATTAAAAATATGAACTGTAAAATCTAAAAAACTTAATTAAATATTTATTTATTTATTTATTTTGAGAGAGTGTTGATCTGTCACCCAGGCTGGATGACACTGCAATCTCTGCCTCCTGGGTTCTCCCACCTCAGCCTCTTAAGTAGCTGAGATATAGTCACGTGCCACCACACCCAGCTAATTTCTTTATTTTTAATAGAGACGGGGTTTCACCATGTTGGCCAGGCTTGAACTCCTAACCTCAGGTGATCCATACACCTCAGGTTCTCAAAGTGCTGGGATTACAGACATGAGCCACCGTGCCCAGCCTAAATTAAATATTTAAAATATTCAACTCCTAATCCTGAATACAGGGCCCACACCTGCAATCACAGTGGAGGCCAAGGTAGGAGAATCACTTGAGGCCAGGAGATTGAGAACAGCCTTGGCAACACTGTGAAACCCCATCATGATAACATTAAATTAAAATAATAAAATAAAAATAATTAAATTGAATGAAATAAAAAGAAACAAAATATAATCAACCCCTAAATGAGATAACTAAAATTAGGTATTTTACCCAGTTGAAATATCCAGTTTAATCAAGCAAACATTAGACAGCAATGCATCAGTAAATTCCTACAGTGAAATGTCTCAGAAATTCTAAGTCAAATGCTTTACCTCATTACAGCACATACATCTCCAGTCAAGTTCCTCCGACAAGCAGTGCTGGTTAAGTACTCTTGGGGGTTTAGGCGATACGTGTCAATCATAAAATTTCGATATGCCAAGTATCTAAAAAGCAATTGCAAAATTCATAAGGTGGGTATGTATTCTTTTAGAAACAATGTTACTCAGAAAGCCAAAAATCTTCAGATTTCATAAAAATAAATACAGTAACAAATCAAGACAACAGCCCAAAAAACAACAGTGATATTATATTGCGTAAAGTTACAAGTGAATTTAGAACCCAGAATATGCAATACAACTGTTTACTAATATGTAACAACAAGTAATCTAATGACATTAATGTGAAGTAACATAAATTCAAACTTGGTCATGGGGGTGGCTAACTGCAGAATTCGAAATTAACACCTGGTTACATAGGCTATCTCCCTTACTACCACATATCTATACTTTACTGTGTGGAGGACACTGCTATAAGCAATGTATGTCTAACAACTCAATTAGTCCTCATAGTCTCTTCATATTAAAAGGAAGGGTTTGCTATCATCCCATTTATGGATGAGCAAACAAACACTGAGTTGTTAGAGAATTTGCCCTAGACCACAGGGTTGGTAACTGGTTGAGCCAGAATTCAACTCAGCCACTGTGGTGGTGCTTCAATCTATGCTCTCAATCTCTGCTGCCTATCAGTTCTATATTCCACACATGTCATATGAATTTGGCTCTGAAAACAGCTATATAACTTCTTATGGAAGTTCTTTAAGGGAGATCACAGCTGGGCAGTAAGTAGAACCCATGAGACCAAATCCGGAAAAGAACATACAAAAATGGAGAGAGAAATTGAGATTCTGTTATAGCAGATTCCAAGGAATTCTCTCACAAAATATAGTACTTAAAAACAGAGTGTTAAGGACTTTGAGACCTAGCAACAGTTCTTGGCACATAAATAAAACAAAACACAGGCAGAAGAGATCACTCCACTGCACACCAGGCTGCATTACGGGATGACACTCTCTCCAAAAAAAAGAAAAGGGCCAGGTGCAGTGGCTCATGCCTGTAATCCCAGCACTTTGGGAGGCCAAGGCGGGCTGACCACACCATCAGGAGATGGAGACCATCCTGACCAACACGGTAAAACCCCATCTGTACTAAAATATAAAAACTGAGCCGGGAGTGGTGGCGCATGCCTGTAGTCCGAGCTACTTGAGAGGCTGAGGCAAGGGAATTGCTTGTACCCAGGAGGCAGAGGTTGCTGTGAGCCGAGATCACACCACTGCACTCCAGTCTGGTGAAAAAGCAAGACTCAGTCTCAAAAACAAGAAAAGAGAAACAGATTAATATCGTGAACATAGTACATGGGAGT